CCCCCAAAGCCCTAAACCCCAAACAGGAAACCCTAAAGCTACAAACCCCTAAACCCTAAACCCTAAACCCTAAACCCCCAAAGCCCTATACCCTAAACAGGAAACCCTAGAGCTAAAACCCCTAAACCCTAAACCCTAAACCCTGAACCCGCAAAAACCTAAACCCTAAACCCTAAACTTTAAATCCCTAAACCCTAAAACCCTAAACCCTAAACCCTAAACCCTAAACCCTAAACCTTAAATCCCTAAACCCTAAAAAAGAGAAGCAGCTGGCCGCTGAGGTGCCGCTGCAGCTCGTTGAGCAGCTCCAAGGCTTGCCTTGAGCTCTGAAACTGAGAGCAACACGATTGAGGGTTTAGGGTTTAGGGTTTAGGGGTTTAGGGTTTAGGGTTTAGGGTTTAGATTTTAGGGTTTAGGTTTTAGGGTTTAGAGTTTCGGGGTATTCCTGCTGCATGATCACTAATCTGCAGGCAGTGGCTTGTTTCTTTCACCCCAAAACTTCCAACCACGAAATTTGAAATAAAAACAAAGGCGTAAACCCACTCTTCAGTGGACAACAACTACAACCTGCCACATTTCATGAACGCCACGGACGGTGCATTTACAATGCCAGTGTCAACCATCCAATCCGAAACACGCAACCTCTCAATCCCGAATACAATCAAATGCCTTAAACCCACAATCCAAAACCACAAAATCCTTAAAACCTTAAAGCAGCGAATATTCACTTGTCCAGAATCCAAAAATTAAAAAAAAGTCAACCTTTGGGATTCTACAGGGATCATAGTACCGCAAAATGGTCAAAGGTTACCCCCTGCTCTACTACTCGGGCTTAGGGGTTACAATGTTAAAGGTTGCCTACTCTACTACCTTGAAGCCCAGTACCCTGGCCCAAAAAAGTTTAAACTTTTCTTTGAGTAGGGGGTTTAATATACCAGCAAGTTTAAAGTTTAGCTACTGGGCTCCTAAGGCTACTGAGCATTGGGTCGCTGCGGCAGCCCGACTGGCTTCAGACTGGTGGTGTGGGAACTAAGGGGGGCTGCTTCTGTGGTGGTGAAAGATTAAGGCCTTAAGGTTTAGGGCTTAGGGTTTAGGGTTGACGGAGGGTTTGAGAGCTTCAGCCCTAAACCCTAAACCCCTGAACCCTAAGGGTTTTAGATTTTAAATATTTTAAGCCCTCAACCCCTAAACCCTAAACCGTATTGAGTATTTTGAAACTGGCTGGTCATGCAGGATGTAAAGTGTATAATACCGAGCTTGATCACAGACCGAAGCACTGCCACTGTCTTCGCAGGCCCAACTCACGAACTCGTCTCCTCGGGATCCCCGCGAAGCTCGTTTGGGGTTGTAGGGTTTAGGTGTAGGGTTGCTTACTAACCCGCACCCCCTACACCTGTCTTCGAAGACCTTTCACACTTCTATTAAACCACTAACCATCACACACCCTTAACGACCTGGGTAGTTACATCCCCAACCCCTGCGTCATGAGTTGCCACACCTCAGCGTAGTCATAATACTCGTATTGTTGCTGCTGTGAAGAAGAAGACTAAGAAAATCTCGTTTCCTGAGACCAACAACATCATGTTGGTGATGCTCATATTGACAATCAGCGTCAACATGTTCAACAGCATCATCGCCATCGCCATCACCGCCATAACGATCACCACCATCACCATACCCTGAAGGCTACGGTAAAGCATGGCCCTTGCATTCCTCACGCGCTAAAGAACTGAACAGTGAGGCTTCAAGCTTTCCTTGAGAAACGCCCAAGGCAGCATGTCACATCGACCCTCCCGATACAGGGGTCGACACAATTAGCAGTATCCCCCGTATGGTCCCTTTTATACATGCAGTATATGGAAAACCCAAGTTGCGGCAGATGCGTCTGGTTTATATGTATGTATACGTATATATGTTTGTGTGTGTAAATACTATCTGTATATGAGTACAAATATAAATACACACATAAACATATAATTGTATAAATTGTGTACATATGTTCCTACCTACCTACCTACCTACCTACCTACCTACCTACCTACCTACCTACCTACCTACCTACCTACCTGGATAGATAGATAGACTAGATAGACGATAGGTAGATCGATAGATAGGTCCATAGACAGATAGATAGGCAGATAGGCAACGCCAGCTACGCCCCATGTTAAACCCGGGAGGTTCAGCACCTCAGCTCTACGGCCCCGGAAACTACGGAGTCTGGCGCTGACCAAAACAAGAGCCTTGATAAATTGATTAGGGTTTGGGGTTTAGGAATAAGGGTTCAGGGGTAGAAACCTAAGGCATATGTAATGGAATCGAGAGATCGATCTGGCCCCGAATGAGTGCTTGCAAAGTCTCAGTTGCTTCTCACGGATCTCGCCGGTCTCCGTTCGGGCATCCATGGCTTTGGGCTTAGGTTCGGGTTGAGGGTTTAGGAGTTTTGGCTTTAGGTTTCGGGGTATTCAAGGCTTTGGAATCACATGTCGTCTCCAATATCGGCGGCCTTCTTACGGTGTTTCCGGGGTCAGGCCGTTGTCTTGCGAAAGCGTCCGAAGCAGGAGATTAAGCCTGATGGGGCTGCTGGAGAAGGGAAGCTCTATCATGCACCCTGAACAGCAACCCAAGAGCCCAATACCGATAGCCCTTACTTGAGGAATACACCCTAAAACAACACACGAAGGCCCCTCGAATTTCAGGTATATTCCTTAATTAAGGTGTATATTGGGCTCTCAGACTCTGGGAAGATCCGGAATTTGGAACTCTCGGTTAGGTAGGGGGAGTAGTCCAAACCAACACCATCTTGCCGCCGTGCCCAATACCAACACCCAAAACCCAAAAAAACATGACGCCATGAAACCGTTAGTATTCGGGATCAACGACCACAGTCCCTACCCCCCTCGACGGGGGTTCACATTCAAAGGCTCAGTTTATGTGTAGGTGATCTTGGGGCCCTGCCCTCAATCCTACGGCTGATGGACAAAATCCTGCATGACCTTATATACCGAAGCTATGGGATTTATGGTACTATACTATATTTGGGTCATGCAGGATTTTGTCCCATCAGCAGTACGAACTTGAGTTTTGAGATCGAAGCCAAACCCTGCTGGGTGCTGCTGAAGCTGAGCGCCCATTTGTAGATTGTTCGCTGTCCTGCAACTGGAGGTTGAAAGCTCTGAAAGTATAATTACTTACTATAGGGTCCTTTCTGTTTTGTTTAAGATATGTTGGTGAGAACTGTTACGATAGGAACAAAGGGACTACAAGTGCCCAGTTGTTCAGGCCTCCTAAACCCTAAACCCTAAAACCCTAAAGCCCTAAAGCCCTATAAACCCCAACCCTAAACCGTAAACCCAACACTATTGCCTCGTTGCCCTGGTGTCTGCGGGCCGTCTAGGGCTGAGGTGCAATCTTTGCCGGGTTGACGGGATTTAGGGTCCGGGGGTTGCGGTTTGGGGTTGACGGGTTTGGAGTTTAGTTTGGCTTTTTTAGTTTCAGGTGTCGGGTTTGGAGTTTAGTTTCGTAAACCCTAAACCCTAAACCCTAAACCGGGCTTAGGGTTCTGGAACTCCTCAGGTATTGCAGGACCGTCGCCGGCTTGCGCGGCGGGACCACAGAGCTGAGGATTTCGCGGTTGTCGGATCGGGGTCCATTTAGGGCTTAGGGTTGAGGGTTTAGAGTTTAGGGTTTAGGGTTTAGGGGTCAATTTATGTTTGTATGTGGGTATAAACTAATACATACATGCGCACTTACATACATCCATGCATACATACATACATACATACATACATACATACATACATACATACATACATACATACATACATGAATTTGTATGTACATACATGTAGCATGTATATGTGCATACATACAAACACACACACACACACGCATATATATATATATTCTGATATTGATATTGCGTTATGCCGTGTATGTGTGCGCACACCATGGGGTTCAAAAACTATGTTCCAAGGCCATGGCTGGCAAGGATAACCAGCCGGCGGCAACATCGGAGAACAATGCTGTGGCCTCGGTAGAGACTGGTTTCAGGGTTTGGGACAGATTCCTGAAAGGGTTCCTGTAGAATAGGGGTTCTACTGATGAGACTAGCTTGTTTTTCTTATAGCGGGCTATGATCAGGAAGCCCATGGGATGGCCTGCCAACCTCGGAGTTCATACAGGATTGTAAAGACTATAATGCCCCCCCGAAAGGCTATCCAGTGGACAGGACAGGCTGCTGCATACACGGGCCGGTCGGCATCATGCTCCCAGGGACTTGTGGGCCACAGCGGCCAGGCGGAGGCATGAATTGCGAGCCGTGCGGTGGCCTGAGCACGTGAGATATGTGAGCTCAACGTTTGGGTGTAATATAGGGCCTTTAATTCGTATACTTAGTACCTATACTATTTTGGGGGATTCCTTATTAAATTATGGTAAAATTTAATGGGCCCCAAAACCCCTATTCTAATTATTAAGGCCCCTCCTTTCTCGTGATTTAAAGGCTTTACCTGTTCTGGAGTAAGGGCTGTAGTCGCATATCCTCACAGAACATCGTGGAGCAGCTGATGCTAAAGCAACCTAACAACTGACCTAAGCATGCCACACTCGAAACCATCACAGATCTCAAGCTGCTGAAGGCAAGTGTCGGGATGTTGGTGTGAAGCTGCGGCGGCAAATGTGTGGATAGCGGCGGTGCAGCTTGCAGGTACTCTGACTGCATCGCAGCTATGCCGGGTTGGGAAAGCTGGCGACCCGGTTGGTGGTTTTGGGGGTGGCCTGGCTGGGGGAGCTCCTCATACTGAGGCCGAAATTGTGGGACATGCCCACCGGGCTGTTGATATGGCCCTGGAGCATGTTGAAACTGCTGCTGCAGGACAGGGGCTGCCTGGGGATTCAGGAACTGAGCCTGAGCCTGAAGATTTGGCTGACCCTGTGATTGCGGCATCTGCCAATGTTGCGGCACCGGCTGCTGGTTTTGCTGCTGGTACACCTGCTGCAATTGTGGATATTGCTGCGGAGGTGACTGCATAACGTGCTGCTGTTGAAAAGCCGGCTGCACGCTCCGCATTTCCAGCTGGGCCTGGTGTGCAGGGGGCTGGTGTGAGTGCCAAACGGGCTGCTGTGGATTCAATCCCGCTTCTTGCGGTGGTGCTGCAGAAGCTGACTGTGGTACAGCTGATGAACGGACTCGAGCTGCACTTTTCGCAGCAGCAGCCTTCTTCCGGCTGTTCGTTGCCGTGCGAGAAATCCGACGCTTCGAGGTCGTGCTGGTCTGTGGCGGCTTGGTGTCACGGCAAAGGTACACTGGGATTTCGCCTTGTAGCAGGGCATGGATGCAATGGCCCTCGATCAAGTATGCCACTGTGACATTGCCGCTCGCTCCCGCTGGCGTGGTGATCTCCTCTGCCAGGATCGACTCAATCACCAGCCGACGCAGAAGCCGAAGAATCTCCCTGTCAGACCAGCCATTGCTGCCCAGTAGTCCGAATCCGGGCAACTCTTGCCAGCGTGCCAGCTTCTGGTGTTTGGCACCGAGCAAGGCATCACGAGTAGTGTTCAAGGTGATTGGACTGCCACCTAGGTTGGCCCTCGAAACCCTCCAACAGAATAGACAACAAGATCGTCTTGGAATCAATAACTAACACAGGAACATACGAAACATCTATACCAGCGGCCTACCTAGCCACCATGTGCTGGGAGGCTGCGTACTGCCCGCAAGAACTGTGCGGCGATCTGTGCTTCGCGCGTCACGTTGTCGTGATGAAACGTTGTGCCACTACGAGCACCCTTGCAGATGTCGCACATTGCTGGCCCACCTCCACAAACAACCTGGGTAATAGAGCAACCCTATAAAATTAATTCGAATAGAGTTTGGGGTTGGGTATATGATACCATAACATCATACATAAAAGTATCAGGGAGCCGGAATAGTACGAATAGTACTACCTAATTTGTAAAGCTGAAACACTCATCCTGGGCACGAAGACTGTTTCGAACAAAAACCCAGCAGTTTAGGGTTTAGGGTTTACGGGTTCAGGGTTTAGGGGTTTAGGGGTTTAGGGTTTAGGGTTTAGGGTTTAGGGGTTTAGGGTTTAGGGGTTTAGGGTTTAGTCAGCGTTTAAGGCTTAGGGTTTAGGGGTTTAGGGGTTTAGGGTTTAGGAACCAGGGTCAAGAACCCAGCAGCCTGCTCCAATTCACCCGCACCGCCAAAGTAGCGCGCGATGAGGCTTCGGCGACATTCCCGGGCTTCAAGGTAGCCGACCATCCCCAGCAGGCGCTGCGCGGTTTTCTCGGTGTGCTCCGCCGCCTCACCATCGATTCTACATTAAGGCGGATGTAATGGGCTGAAGCTATTGGGGATAGAACTCTAGGGTGTGTGAATTTGCCAAAACGTGTGGTGACATAGACTGCAAAATCTTTTCTCACTCGGCGGCGCAAACATCGAAAGAAATTACCTATACATGCTCTTCCTTTTGGGGGTATAAGTTATAGGTAGCCGAATTGATTTTATGAGGTCTGAACCATGAGAATTGGTTACCACCTCCCAACAAAAAAATCCAGATTTCCGACTGGAGGTAGATACCTGCCTTCACGAACCTGCAACCCTAAAGCCCTAAGCCCCTAAGCCCTTAAACCCTTAAACCCTAAACCCTAAACCCTAAAGCCCTAAACCCTAAAGCCCTAAACCCTAAACCCTGAACCCTGAACCGCTCCCCGAATTCCCCCCACCTGGTTCCGGTCGCCTTGGGCGAGGTTCTGGTGGCGCTTCTTGTCCTATCGAGCTGCTACTGCTTGGGGTTTATAGAGCTTTGGGTTTAGAGGTTTAGGGTTTGGGGGGTTAGGGCTTTAGGGTTTAAGGGTTTAGGGTTTAGGGGTTTAGGGTTTAAGGGTTTAGACTACTTTAGGGTTTAAGTGTTAATTTAGGGGTTTAGATTTTAGGGTTTGTCTAGGGGTTTAGGGTTCAGGGGCTTAGGATTTTAGCTTCCTCGCTCTTGTGCTTTTTTTTTTGGCGGGGGAGGGGGCTTGGCGGGGTGTTTGTGGGGCAGTTGAAGGATTAATAACCCGAGACCCTAGGCCCCAAGCCCTAGACCCTGAACCCTAAACCCTAAAAGGCGGCTTGCGAGCTTCTCCTCGTAGTCGTAGAAGACGATGCAGGTGGCAGGGCCTGCCCAAGGAACGGAAGCCCCGAAGGTCAGCTCTTCAGGATTTCAAAGGATTCCGGTTTAGGGTTTAGGGTTTAGGGCCCTAAACCCTAAACCCTAAACCCCTAAACCCTTAACCCTGAGTGCTGAGAACCTACTTGCAGGTTCACGGGTAGTTATAAGTAGGGCGACTATAATCGTGACGCACATTGGGGGGACTTATAGAGCAAGCGTCAACTACCCTAAGCACTAAACCCTATCGAACGTTTGAGGGGAACCCTACATATATAACCTCCACTTATACTTCCAACTACCATGACCCTAAACCCCAAACCCTAANNCCCCCCCCCCCCCCCCCCCGCCGCCCACCCTCCGAGCTCCCGACGCCCGTCCCTGCCGGCTCGGCCAGCCTCCTGGTAGTAGCCTTGCGAGCATCGCTTTCCCATGTCAGTGTCCCTCTAAGAGCTCCATTTGAGGGTTCTCGAAGGGTTCTAGAGGGGTTCTATAGGGTATACTTGGAGGTTCATGG